CACCCATGGACAGGGCACCCATGGACAGGGCACCGTGATGAACCGCGGCTGCGCCTTGTACTTCATCGTCGGCTGTGAGGAGTACAGCCGGTGTCACCCGTGTGCCAGGGTACCCGCACAACGGGGACACCCACGGACAGGAACACCCACGGACAGGGCACCCACGGACAGGAACACCCACGGACAAGAACACCCGTGGACAGGGCATCGTGATGAACTGCGGCTGCGCCTCGTACTTCACCGTCGGCTGTGGGTACAGCCGGCGTCACCCGTGTGCCAGGGTACCCGCACAACGGGGACACCCACGGACAGGAACACCCACGGACAGGAACACCCACGGACAAGAACACCCACGGACAAGAACACCCGTGGACAGGGCACCCATGGACAGGGCACCGTGATGAACCGCGCCTGTGCCTCATACTTCATTATCGGCTGTGGGTACAGCCAGTTTCACCCGTGTGCCAGGATACCCGCACAACAAGGGTACCCACAGACAGGAACACCCATGGACAGGGTACCCACGGACAGGGTACCATGATGAACCGCGCCTGCGCCTCGCACTTCACCGGGGACTGCGGGTACAGGCAGCGTCACCTGCGGCCAATGTCACCCGTGCAACGGGGACACCCGTGCAACGGGGACACTCGCGTGACAGGGCACCGTGATGAACCGCAGCTGCGCCTCATACGTCACCATCAGCTGCGGGTACAGGCAGCGTCACCCACGGCCAGGGGTACCCACAGACAGGGCATCCACCCAACAGGGGTACACACGGACGGGACACCCACGCAGTGGGGACACCCATGGACAGGGCACCGTGATGAACCGCGGCTGCGCCTCGTACTTCACCATCGGCTGCAGGTACAGGCGGCGTCACCCGCGGACAGGTCACTCACGTGCCGGGTCACCCACACGACAGGGTCAACCACACACCAGGGTCACCCATGCGCCAGGGGCACCCACAGCCGGCGTCACCCACACGACAGCATCAACCACACGACGGGGGCACCCACGCGACAGCAGAGTCACCCACGGCTGGGGGGGGCCCACACGCCAGGGCCCCAACAGCCGGGAGCGTCAACCGCACAAGGGCCCCGGCGTCCGGGAGCATCAGCCGCACGAGAGCCCTGGTGTCCGGCAGCACCGGCCGCGCGAGGGCCCCGGCGTCCGGGGCGGCGCCAGCGCGAGGGCCCCGGCGTCCGGGCGCACTCACGTCGTTGGTGGGTGACTCCGGGGGTCCCTCTCCCGGCGTCTCCTTCTTCTTCTTCTTGTAGCGCCGGGGCTGCGCGGGGTCCTCACCCATGAACACCTCCCTGGGGGGCGGGGGGGCATGGGGACACGGGGGACAGGGAGGGGACATGGAGAACACAGGGGACACAGGGACATCGGGACACAGCGGGACACGGGGGACAGAGGCAACACGGGGGACACGAGGGACAGAGGCAACACGGGGGACACGAGGGACACAGGGGACAGGAGGAACCCAGGGGGACATGGGGGGGACACGGGGGACATGGGGGGACATGGGGGACATCAGGCTGCGCCCTGCCGGGCCCCGCCCTTCCGCCATGTCCCCTGGGGTCCCCTCAGTGCCCTGGTCCTCCCAGGGCCCTGTGGCCACCCCAGTGTCACCCATCCCTGTGTCCCCCCATGTCCCCACCAGTGTCTCCAGTGTCCCCCACTATATCCCCTCATGGCCCCACGTCCCCATTGGTGTCTCCCATCCCTGTGTCCCCTTGTCCCTGTGTCCCTCAGTATCTCGTGTCCCCCGTCCCTGCGTCCCTGCCCTGGTGGCCCCTCTGATGTCCCCCTGTCCCCCAGTGTCCCCCCCGAGTGTCCCTGTGTCCCTCCTGGTGTCTCCAGTGTCCCTGTGCCCCCAGTGTCCCCCTGTTCCTCCTGTCCCCCATGTCCCCCCTAATGTCCCCTCGGTGTCCCCCTGTTCCTCCTGTCCTCTGTCCCCCCCCCAGTGTTCCCCCTGTCCCCCCCAGTTCCCCTTGTCCCCCTGGTGTCTCCCCTGTCCCCCTTGGTGTTCCTGCCAGGGGACAGGGACAGTGTCCCTGCGTCCCCTGTCCCTCTGGTATCCTCCGTGTCCCCGGTGCCCCCTCCGGTGTCTCCAGTGTCCCTGTCCCCCCAGTGTCCCACTGTTCCCCCTGTCCCCCCAGTGTCCCCCGTGTCCCCCCTGTCCTCTCGGTGTCCCCGTGTCCCCCCTGGTGTCTCCAGTGTCCCTGTCCCGCCTATGTCCCCGTTCCCCCTGTCCCCCGTGTCCCCCCAGTGTCGCCGGTGTCCCCCGTGTCCCCCTAGTGTCCCCGGTGTCCCCCCGGTCCCCACCGGTGTCTCCAGTAGGCCAGCTTGTGCAGCTCGTAGTCGGGGATGGGCATCTCGTCCTCCTCCCACGTGGCCTGGTCGTAGGGCAGGTCCCGCCACTTGACCAGGTAGTGGTACTGGCCCCTGCGGTCCACACTGCGGGGACACAGGGACACCCATGGGTGACAGCGACACCCAAGGGACACGCTCACACAGTGGTACTGGCCCCTGCGGTCCACACTGCGGGGACACGGGGACACCCATGGGTGACAGCAACACCCATGGGTGACAGGACACCCAAGGGACACGCTCACACAGTGGTACTGGCCCCTGC